TCTGGTTTAGAGGAGGTAAAATCTGTCTACAGCAGCCTTCTCCACGCCAGGCACTCAGGCCCTGCTCTCACAGCAGCAGGCAGCTTGGTGCCCCTGAGACTCTCCCTGCAGCCCGAGGCAGCTCTCAGGGACCTGGCCAAGAGCGCGTCCTCCTGACCTGGCTCCTGAGCTGTTTTGTGGGTTGTGGAGATGACTTCTTCAGCCCTTGGATACCCACCTGCTCCTATACTTGGGTATCGTTTTTAGAGGCTGTTCTTTCTCTGCGGCTTCTGAGAAGTAGGTCAAGGTACCGGCTTTAAGGGAGAAGTGCCAGGGGTTCAAGTCACCAGGCCGGGAGTCCGGAATCCCGAGTTCTGTTTCAGGCTTCACAGCTAATCAGCTACCGGACAATCTCAGGGGCCCATTCTCCCCTCGGCTCCCTCAGCCCTTCACTGGGTCTCGTGACATTTTCCCCTGAAGCTGTATTCCCCAGGGCCGTCACTTTCTCCCCTCTTCCCTCCCTCTGGAAAAGGCCCTTTAAAGCTGTTGGCCGCTCAAGGCTGGTACCCACAGTAAGAGCTGCTGCAGTTGTGTGGCTGTTGGGGAGATTAGAGGGTTTTGAACAGACAAAGTCAATCCCCTGGGGGCCATGGGAGGCTGGAGCGTCAGGAAGCCAGACTCCTGGGCTAAAGGACAGGCCTGGAGGTGTGGAACCTCTGATGCAAGTGAGGGTCCTGGGTTTTATGTGATGACTGTAGATTGCCTCTTTCTTCTAAGCTGCCTTTCTCTGTAACTCAGGGCAATTCAGCCTCTAGTTCAAAAGGAAACTGTGGGAATGGTGGTGCTTGCTCACGGCAGAGGAGATCCTTTGAGCTGTCTCAACAAAGGACATTGTTCAGAGTGACTGTGGTAACCAGGGCAAGTTTGGTCAAAGAATAATCACCTTTTCTAAGGCATAGTTCCTCCACCTGACCCAACTTGTCCCAGGAGGCCCTCGGTCTCTGAAGGCAGGTGACGCCACAGGGGGGCCACCAATGTTGGTCTAGGAATGGGGTGGAAATTAGAGCACCTGCTTTGGTCTGTTTAGCCCGAGACTCTCTCCAATCTCTACCCTCCAAACCCAAGTAATGAGGGAGTGAAATACGGGTGAGAAAGAGGAGTAAATGCAGGTAAATCAAGGGAAGGGGGTACGGTGCTTTAGACCATCTTAGAAGTCGTTGGGGAAAAAAACTTCATTTAAAGTGCAGTTGCCTTTTTTTTTTTTTTTTCCTGCCCGTGTGCAGAACTTCCCCGACCAAGGATCAAATCTGTGCCCCCTGCATTGGCGGCACGGAGTCTTAACCACTGGACCACCAGGGAAGTCCAAAGCCCAGTGGTTATGTGACTCTCAGTGTGGACTGTAAGGCATCATAGCCTGGTGGAAAGAAAATGTGTCTTGGGCAAGAGTTTCCTGGGCTTGAGTTCCTGCTCATTTACTAGAATTCCAATTACTATGGTGGAGGGCCATAGAAGAAGCAGAGTAGAGCTTCATGAAGAAAAAAACTAGGGCTTCCCGGGTGGTGCAGTGGTTGAGAATCTGCCTGCTAATGTAGGGGACACGGGTTCGAGCCCTGGTCTGGGAAGAGCCCACATGCCGCAGAGCAACTAGGCCCGTGAGCCACAACTACTGAGCCTGCGCGTCTGGAGCCTGTGCTCCGCAAAAAGAGAGGCCGTGATAGTGAGAGGCCCGCGCACCGCGATGAAGAGTGGCCCCCGCTTGCCGCAACTAGAGAAAGCCCTCGCACAGAAATTAAGACCCAACACAGCAAAAATAAAAATAAATAAATAAATAAATAAAATGTTTAAAAAAAGAAAAAACTAAACTGCATCCACAGTACGGCCCAAGCTGTAAAAATTATGATTAAATTAGGACAGGGTCTCAGTTTCCCAGCTGTAAAACGGGAATAATAGTATGGACCTTGCAAGGTCACCCAGAGCATTACATCAGATAACCTGTGTAAAGTGCCTGGCACAGAACCTGTGGCTCAGTGGTCACGCAATAAATGTTATTTCTTCTCCACTTTCCTTACTGTCACATTCATCCCATGTTTTGGATTTCCACAGCTAGAGTAAGAACCTAGTTAGAGTAGGAATCCCAATTCTGACTTTCCCTCCTTTCCATAGTTCACCCAAAGATATCTGATTTGGCATCTGTATTTGATATCTGTTTGGCATCTTTTCATGGGCACACTATTCTGGATATTGGGGCCCTTGGGTTCTGCACTTTTGTTTTAAACCGTGAGCTGGAATATTGTGTTCCAGCTTCCTTGTATGTAACACCACTACCCTAGATTTCCACAGCACCATTTCCTGCACATATTTTATCTAAACATCTTGACTACCCCTCAGAGAAGCTGAGTATGGGCCGGATTCCTCCACCACTGAACATATAGACCCAGAGGGGCCTGAGTGGTCGGGCCAAAGCACCCATGGCAAAGGGTGCAGGTTGGCCAGAGTGACCCCATCCCTGTGCCCTCAGGGGCCACATACCAATGGGATCTAACTGGGAATACAGGTTGGAGTGAGGGCGAGGACCACTCCAGGCCTGGTTCAGTCATGAGGATCCAGGAGCACCCTCCCAAAGGATGGTGCTAACTAGAGTTGCCAGATAAAACATAGGTCCAATCTGAATTTCAGGTAAACAAAAATAATTTTTTTAGTATAACATGTCCCCAGTATTTCATGGGACATACACTAAAAATTATTCCTTATTTATTCAAAATTGAAATTTAATTGGTCATTCTGTATTTTCATTTGCTAAATCTGGCAGCCCTAGATCTAACAGGAAAGCCTTTGGATCGGTGCTCAAAGTCCTCCCAGCATGGCGCCAGACTACCTTCTCAGCCTCCCTTCCTACTTCGCCATGCAGCTTGTGGGATTTTAGCTCCCCAAACAGGACTGAACCTGCGACCTCGGCAGTGAGAGAGCGGAGTCCTAACCACGGGACTGCCAGGGAGTTCCCATCCCTTCTTACTTCTGCTCCCTGTCCCAGACTCTGTTCCAGCCAGATGAGACTCCAGGCTGTGGCTCACATACTCTCTCCCCTCTACCATCCTGACCTTTGCAAATTGTAGCCCCTCTGGCTGGAATTATTTACATTATCTCCACATCTAGAAATCCTGCCCATTCTTCAAAGCCCATCTTGAATGTTTTTTTCCTTCCTGAAGCTCTACTCTGCTTCTTCTATGGGTCTCCACCATAGTAATTATTACATTTTATTATCATTTTTGCATGTCTCCCTTCTCCTGAGCACCTTCCACAGTGTCTAGCACATAATATAAAGTGATCAGTAAATATTTGATAAAAAGAATGAATTAGGCTCTCAGCCCTCTGCATGTCTAAGTAGAGGTCTGTGCTTCTCATGCACAATTTACCATATTCTTCCTTGTCATGTGATGTTTTTATCAGTATTTATTAGTCTTATGCTCCCTGCTAGAGAGTTCACTCTGTGAAGACAGACACTGCATTGCCCACTGTGCTACAGACACCAGTGTTTAATGAATATCTTTTGTGCTGCACAGATTGCGGGGGTAGAGGTATCTCTGGGTATCCAGACCAAACTAGACTCCAAATTCTCCCTTCTGCCCTGGTTCAAGGGCAAAAGTGACTCTCAGCGAATCTCAGAGTCACCTGACCTGGTCCTAGAACTGGACATAGAAAATAGAGCTGCTTTGTGAACCATCTGAGGGTCTAGGTTAAATGTGAGCTCTAGGAACCTTCCCAGAGTTTCCCATGGGGCCTCAAGACTTGCACATGCTGCTAAGAGAGGTAAAGAGGTAAAGGAACAGGAACAAAACTTGGAAACATCAAGAGAGTGGGAGGGGGTGGTGAGGCCAGAGAGAAATGGGAAACATGGGTTTGGGGCACAACAGAGAGCACTGTTCCAAGAGTCCAGTGACCTAGGCTCTCTCTGGCTCTGGCTCTGCCTTGGGTGAGGAAGGAAAGAAAATGAATACGTGAGTGCCCACTGTGTACTTGCATGTAGGTTTTATATAAATTTCCCAACAGTCCTGCAGGAAGCTGAGGTTCAGAGAGGGAGATGACTGGCCTATGGACACACAGCTCAGTGTATCTAGGAAAAAGGACACAATTTAATTTCTCACAGCCTCAGTTTCCTCTTCATTAAAATGAGAGACATGACAGCATCTTTAAGATTCTCTCCTAACTTCTACTAGTAGAATATTTTGAGGACAAAACCCCTCAACCTTGGGGTAAATGTGAAATGTAGAGGGGGCTGGGTGAGAAGCTTTAGGGAAGCCCTGAGCTGGGCTAGAATTTGTCTTCAGGCTGTGGGCGTGAGCCTTCTGCCTCTCTGTGTCTGTTTTCTCACTTGGTTCCAGAGGGTGAAGTCGGCCCTGGGGCACAGCTAGGGAGGATCCTGGTCACAAAGCATGTGAATTACACTTGTGAATCTGGGAGAGGAAAAGCAAGCTGACTTCCTGCAGCACTAGAGCGGTGGGACGGTGTGCGTTTCCTGCGTACCTGGCGGAGGAAAGACGCGCTTTGGTAGCGAGCACTTGGCAAGAGAGTGGCCATAGCTGAGGGCTTAATTAGGGAATGGGGTTTATTAAGGGGGCCAAGGGAGGGCGGAAGGTTATGCCCCAATTCCTCTTCCTGGCGCCCCCTGGATCAGACAACGCATTCTGGATAAATTTGGGGGAGGGGCTACATATGCAGCTTCCAGCACCCCTGCTGACCCTCGGTGCCCGCGGGTTATGGGAGATCTCAGCTGTAGGCCTGAGCATTCGGACAGGAGCAGGGTGGGTCACTTCCCCTGCGGGACGCTGCCTCTGGAAAATGCGCCACCCAGCACCTGGGGGCGACAGCCTGGGAAAGGTGCTTCTAGGGATTTGGGTTTCTCGGAGGGTGGGAATTGCCGGGGGGCGAGGCGGGGCGGGGCGGAGCTTGGGCGGGGCGGCCCGGCAGTGGCCGAGCCCGCTGGAAGGGACCGTCATTAGCATAGCCTCCGCCCCTCTCGGCGCAGCCCTCCCCAGAAACCCGAGCCGAGGCTGGTCGCGCTCAGTCGGGGCTGCTGAATGGGTGTGCGGCTCCCGGCCCCTGCCCTCTGGCGTCCGGCCCCCGCTCTCGCTCCTGCTCCAGCTCCTGCTCCCGCCCCGCCCGGGCCTCCGCCGGCCGCCGCCATCGGCCACCCCGGCTGTGAATGAAAGGCCGGCGCCGCCAGGGGCTGGCTGCAGGCGACGCGGCCTCCCGGGAGGCACTCGCCCCGCCAAGATGTACGGTAAGGAGGGCTCTGCTTCCGGGCTCGCAAACTTGCAGAACGAGGACCATTGTCCCCCTGCGGGGCCCCGGCGAGGCCAGGGGCGCGGACTCGGTGCCCGGCTGGGCTCTTTCTGTCGCTCTGTGTGCGCGTCTGTGCTGGGAGGACAAAGATGTTCAGGACCGGGGGCTGTAGGGTCCTCGAGGTCCTTCGGACCTCGCTCGTTTGAGGGCGCTGGGGCGGGTGGGCGGTGGTCCGTCGGGGTGCGGGGGGCCCGGGGGATCCGAAGCGGCTGGGTTCTGGGGAAAGCGAGTCTCCCTTGGAGCCGAGCAGACAGGGGGTGTCGTGACAGCATTTGCAGAATTAACAAAAGCAGGTTGTGCTGGGGAGTTTTATAGGGGAAGCCGGTCCGGGATTGCGGGGAGACGCTCGCTGCCTGTCTTGTGCAGGCTCCGAGCATGTGGGAGGCGGCGCCCGCGGTGCAGAGGGCTGGCCAGAGAGCCAGTTCTGGGAGCCTGGTCTCGCCGCCCCTGGATGGACCTGCCCTCTGCTTGCCCCTGCCGCCCGTGGGACCCAAGCTCCCGAACTTCCAGATATGCCCTCCGCAGGGATGAACGGGAGAGACGCTGCTGAGGGTGCCGGGCAGCTCTGGGTGGCCACCTCTGGCTGTCCCCTGACCTCTCTTGCCCCCTTCCACGGCCATCCCCTCAACTGATGTGCAACAGTTAGCCAGACCCTCTTGATACCCTGTTCTGCTTTAAAAATTTCCAGGAATTCCTCTGGTTTTGGAGGCAGTGTGGGTGAAGGAAATAGCACTCTGGGTCTCAGATTGCAGCTCTGAGGACTGGAGGACTGGAGACCCAGAACAGTTTAGAAATCAGCGGCATTACAGAGCCTCCAGATACTCTGAACTGGGGTGTGTGTGTGTGTGTGTGTGTGTGTGTGTGTGTGTGTGTGTGTGTGTTTGTGTATGAGAGACAGACAGACAGACAGAGACAGACAGACAGAGGATCTCCATGGACCTAAGTCCATCGGAAATCAGGCTCTTACAGCTATTTAGGGCCAGCAAAAGAGCTGAAGCTGCTCAGCTCCCACCCCCCTGGCCAGGTAGGGGCTCAGGTGGCACCTGAGGGGTGAGTGTCGGGAGAAAAGCACATTCCCGATTTAACCCATCGCCAAGGCCGCTCAGCTGCCTCACTCTGCAAGCAAGCGCTATGAGTCACAAAGTTTGAGGCGCAGGAAGCTGAGAGCGTAGTACGAAGGCTCAGCAGTCAGGGGGCCTCATTATTTAGAGAGACACTCAGCCTTTTAATCAACCTCCTTTCCTGCCCCATTGGTCACACATGGGCATTTCTGACCCAGGTTGGAACATCATCAGGTCCCTTCAGCAAGTGTCATCTCTTGGATGGGCCAAGGCTGGGGAGTGGGGTGGGAGGGGATTGACTTCAGAGCGTGTGCTGCTGGCCAATGGGGAGTCTGCAGGAAGGTAGCAAGGCGGTCGTGTTTTATAAGCTAGCAGGCTGTGAGGTTCCCAGTAGAGAGCTATATTTTCTTACTCTCTGTTTTTCCCCCGTTCTTTTCTGCAGAGTGAGCAGGCTAAAGCTGCAGATCACTTGATAAAAGCATGTGACTGCAGGGGCACCTGCAGTGGGGAAGGAGTTAGGACAAGGCCCAGCAGAATGGGTAAGAATTAGGAACCCTAGTTCTGCTGGGTCACCTCGAGGCGTTTAGTCCGAGACAGTTTGATAACTGATCCCAGGATGCCTGAGCGTTGGGAGTCCCAGTCTGCCTCTGTTGTGTGAAGCAAGTCAAGGGAGAGTTGGATGGTACAGAAAGGTGAACCGGGAGGCTGGCATATCTGCGTGCTATTTTTGGATACACCACAGATTTTCAGTTCTGTTTTATAATATGTTCTTATTCCTCCAGATGCAAACAGAGACGGTACTTACCCCTGAATCATGCATAGAAAGATTGTAATGAAGGAATCCTCTGCATACTTGCCTGCAGCAAAGTCATGCCAATGCCGGTTGGGAGATGATTACTGAATCTCGCTTAGTGCAAAGCCTTGTCTTAGGAGGTGTGACAGGTGCCCACTCTCCAAGGGGAGGGCTCGTTGGCCTGGATTTTAGTATTTTCTTGACTCTCATGAAAAGAAAGGGTCCGTGTCATACTTATAATCATTCTCTCCTCAGCGGCAATCAAGTGATGAAAAACGATGTGAATAGGGAGGTTGGGAAGGCATAGAATCATAGACTTCTTATACTTGGTTCTTATTTTCTGAGTGATTTATCCAAGGTGACACAGTTAGATGGAAAAAGGCAAAATGAAAACAGGGGCTTCCTAGCTCAGTGCCCCTCCCCCTCCCCTGATGCCCTGGGTAAATGCTCACTGGGAAAATGCCACCAGGGATTTTATTAACTGATGGGCAGTGAGGCCCCTGTGTAGAGCCAACAGTCACGTAAGAGCTTTAGGTAAAGGTGTCCCTTGACCATCCACCCTGGTTACTGGATCCATTATCAGTGTGCATAATCTCACTCCCATTGCTACCTCTCAGCTGCGTGGTGATGCTGGACAGATCTTCACCTCCCCTCTCGTCTCCTCCTCACCTTACCTCTGCCCCCGACAACTCAGTCTCCCTGTGTCCTCAGTTTCCCCCATCTTCTTCTTTCCATCTATGGGAGAATAAGGGCCCCTTGTCTTTGCTAGAGGACACGGTGCCATCTGGGACAGAAAGAATCCTAGACATGGGGCCAGCCCATCTCAACCCAGAGTCAGTTCATGTTTGTTTCATCTTAGACAAGTGGGTTTGTCTCTCAGAATGATATCTCTGTATAAAACGGCGAGAGGCCCATCCACCTCCCAGGTCTGTGTGAGCCTCAGAGCTGGACCGTGGATGTGACTGTGCATTATAAGAGGTTCTATACTCACAGGACAAATTGCTCAAGAGCCTGTGCCGTTCAGGTCCTCCTGGACCTTTGCCCTTCTCTTTTCCTCTCTGCTGGCTCCTAAAGATGCCTGTTTGCATAACCTCCCACCCCAGCTTAACACACAAGTCACCTCGACCTAGCTAGCCACTCAAGCCACTGAACTACTTCTCCTTCCCTTCCCCAAACTCACCCCAGCTGCTTCTCACCGCTCACTCATTCCTAAAGCCCAGCCACTTTCTGGAAGCGGCTCTCCGAAAGGACACAGGTGACCCCCCACACTCTTTTTCTAACTATGAACACAGACTGACAAGGGATCTGGGAAACTATAAAAGCCCTTTGTACTCAGGTAGGAAGATTGTGAGCAAATTCTCTGCAAAAACTGGATTCCCATTAGGGTTTTTTTGTGTGTGTTAGAATTACATAATTAAAAGTTTCCCTCTGCTTCTCCCCTGGGATGGAGCCACGGTGGTCCCACCTAGGAGTGTCCCGCTTACGCACCAAGGCGGGGCCAAGCTCTCCAAGAAACACTACCCTCCGGAATCAGGGCAGCAGGCCATGAAGACGATTGGGAAGCATTTCCCCAGAACCACCGTCTGTGTAGCCCAATCTCCCTTAAACAAAAGCTGCACTAACGAATCCCTCCTCACCTCTAGGTTCTGCCTCATGCCCAACAGGCCTTTCTTCATACTTTGTGTTTCAGAAAGCCGACTGTAGGGAAAACAGCAACAGCACACAACTTTCTGTAAATGTGCATTACAGAGCGCATGTGTGTGTGACTTGTGGATGGCGGGGAGAAGTGCAGGGTGGAGCCGACTCCACGTGCGGCACAGAGGCTCACCTTGGCAGACAGCTCCACAGATCCTGCTTCTCCTCATCGCGGGACACACACACACACACACACACACACACACACACACACACACTCTCTCTCTCTCCAACCTCATCCCCCAAATCCTGACGCAGTCCTATGGTGCAGCATGTGGCTTGTTCAGGTGGGAGCTGTCCCCCCGCCCCCTCCCTTCTCCTCCTGACTCCTTTATTCCCCGTAGCGGGGCGGGGGGTGGAGTGAGTAGAGCCTGTCTTCTCTCTTGCTGCTCACAGCTCAGTGATTTCAAACGGTTGCAGTTTCCTTATCACACATAAATGAAAACAAAAAGTTAATATCACCTTATGGAAAATCTGGAAAAGGGAGGAGGGGGAAAAAAACCATCCACAATTCTACCCACTAGAACCAACCTTTCATATTGTTATATAAATTACCCCTAAGATTTTGTGCTTACCTGCTTTTGCCCTTTCTTTTCTCTTTCTTGCCTTGCTCCTGGCGTGTTACCCTGGTTGTGATGGTGGCTCTGCCCCTCAGGTAGCCTTGGACCTGACTTTCTGAGCCTGTTTCCTGGCTCTACAGGATGACAATGCCCACCTCCTGCAGGGATTAATCAGGATAAGAGAGCTGCCCGCACTTTCTCCTTCCCTTTCTTCAACTTTCTCTCTTCTCTCCATTTCTTATTTTAAAAAAGGGGCAAAAAAAAAAGAAAAGAAAAGAAAATGAAGCTTATGTCTCATAAGCTTAATAACAGTGCTTGTGATACTGTTCCTGGTATAAACAAAAGAAAAATCTACTTTGAAAAGCATCTTTTGGGAATTCCCTGGTGGTCCAGTGGTTTGGACTCTGCGCTTCTACTGCAGGGGGCCCGGGTTTGACCCCTGGTTGGGGAACTAAGATCCCACACAAGCCAAGGTGTGTGGCCAAAAAAAAAAAGCATCTTTTTTTTTTTCCCCCTGGTAGTCATCCAGTCCATCTAGAAAATCTGGAAAACACCGTAAAGAATAAACAAGTATAACTGCTTTTACTATTTTGATATCTTTCCTTCCATGCATTTGTTTATGTGGTTAGAATTATTCATTTCCCATAATTTGGTATTCTATTTTTTTCTACTTAACATTAGAATATAAGCATTCCCCCACCCCCCAAGTTAACACAGAGTCACTGGCTGCCATTTTTAATGCCATTTTAATGCTATGTAACAGTCCACTGAATAGACATATAATTTCCTTATTGTACATTTAAGTTGTTCATAAAGATTCAGTGTTATA